GGTGTTCTTCGGCAACATCCGCTGTTTTCTCATTGGTAGCGGAGCCCAAACCCGATTCGGGGGAGGGCTCCAGCTGTGCGCTTCGCTTGACCGAGCCGAGCACCCGGGATAAGACCTTCGTCACCCACTCGCTGACGAGTTCAAGACACTCCTTGTTGTGGACCTCCTTGTGCAACACCCTCTGGGAAGGAGTTGTCTACTGGCCCTGGACCTTCACTATGTCTCAGAAGAAAGGCCAGCAGCGAGGCAAGACGCAGGCCACCGGATCAGGCTCGATGTCTTCAGAAGAGCCAACCTATGCTGATGTTCGTGACAGCTTCGTCCCACTGTTCAATGGACAGCCCTCCGAATATCGAGAATGGCGCCAACGAGTTCAGCTCTACTACAAGAAGATGACATTGGCCGCGTGCTGAACATTGTGGGTAGCTTCAAAGGTGTGGTCTGGCGGCTCTTCGAGGATTGGTCCCTGGAGCGATTCGAGAAGGATGACGCCTTCGAATCCATGTTGAAGGTGTTAGATGGGAACTTTTCTTACGACCAGAGGGTTCAGCTTCCCGCCGACTTCGAGGGCTACTTCAACACCTTGCAACGGCTCCCAGGTCAGACCCTCCTGACTTATGTCAACGACCACGAGGAAGCTTACAGGAAGCTGCTACAGCATAAAGTCTCTCTCCCTGACTCCGTCCAAGGATGGCATCTCCTACGACGTGCCGCATTGACTAAGGAGCAGCGACAGCTGATCACCCTGCGTGCACCGACCTTGGAGAAGGCTGCAATCATCGAGGCGCTCTACCTCATCCTGGGCCAGGACTACAAAGCTGGCGGATGGAACCATGACCGCAACAAGCGCTTTCAACGATGGAGCAACAGCAGCCGCGCCTATGCCGCTCAGGACGACTGGTGGGAGGAGGATGACTATGGTTGGGATGATGAAACGGGCTACTATGAAGATGATGAACAGGTAGCCGTCTACGACCTGGAGGAGGAAGAGTTCGATGCTGATGCCGCCTACTATGGCGATGAACAATGGCCTGACGAGGCCACAGAAGCTCACAGTCCTGACCGCATGGCTGAGGAGTACGACACAGCATTCGCCTCCTACACGGACGCCAGACGCAGGTTCAATGAACTGAAGATGGCTCGAGGTTTTCTGCCAGTCGTGGCCTTGGCCGACAACCAGCAACCTGTCATGGCCGGTGCATCTTCATCCTCATCGAGCCCTAGGTCTTGGCAGAGAAAAGGGAAGGGGAAAGGTGGCAAGTCCAAGGGCAAGTCCTCGACAACCGTGCGCTATCCTCCACAGGGCGCCGGAAAGAGTGACCCAAAAGGGCGTGCGAAGGCCAACATGACCTGCCTTCGATGTGGACAACAAGGTCACTGGGCCGCAAACTGCCCGCAAGGCTCGGCATCCAAGGGCTCGAGCCTCAAACGTCCAGCTCCGACTGAAAGCATGGCTCAACTCCATGATGATGAGCACGGCATGATCATCTTTGAGGATCACAACGGCCATCAGAGGCCGGACTGCGTCATGCTTGACCCTGAAGCCAGTGCGTTCCTGGCTGGCTATGGCCCCTTCCGACGATTCCTCCAACATCTGAAAGATGACTGCCACTTCCCGGTCGAGACGATCAAGATGACCAGAGGCAGACGCCGCTTCCAGTTTGGAGGAGATGCAGCTTCATGGTCAACCTGGAGCGCTCACTTGCCCATCTTCCTGGATGGCCGCTACGGGACAGTTCAGTTGTTCCTACTTCCAGGTCAGACTCCAATGCTATGTGGAAGACCCATCATCGAAGCAATGGGCATGACTATGGACTTCGCCATGCGGCGGGTTCGTTTTGGCAACAGTCCCTGGAAGCAGGCAACTTTGGGCAGACAAGGCGAGTACTTGCTCTCCCTCAGTGACGAGCACTCCCTCATCGACTACGACCCCGAACGCCCGGAGTTCTGCCTCAAGACCACTGAAGCTGATCTCGACCAAGAAGAGGACATCTCCCTTGCTGAGTTTGAGAAGGAGGAGAGTTGCTTTTGCACCAACGCCTCTGAGGATCTCATGGATCGCATCAACACCAAGGCACTTCGTCGTCACGACCTTAAGACCATGGACATCCACTTGAACACTCATCTCAATGAGCTGTCCGCCTATGTCACCAAGCAGCTACATCCTCAAGAGTCTCGGCGGAAGCTCTGGGAGGTCTACTGTGGGGCATCCCGCACTTCGCAGGTGGCGGAAAGTCTTGGAATGGAAGTGCGAAGGTTCTCCTATGAGACGGGCTGGGACTTCAACAACCTGGCTCATCAGCAGGCCTTTCTGGACCTACAAGATGAAGAATGCCCTGACGAGATCCTCCTGGCACCAGAGTGCAAGTTGTGGAGTCGCATGCAGTCACTTGGTCGTCGCACCTTCCCTCAGCAAGAGGCCCTTCAGGCAGCACGACAACATCACCATGACCGGCATCTGATGTTTGCCCGCCGCGTCTACTTGCGACAGGTCAACCATGGCCGCCACTGTCACATCGAGCAGCCGAAGCATGCCTTGTCTTGGCGCACTCGGGCCCTGCGTGATCTACCTGGCCGGCGTGCAGATTTTGATCAATGTCGCTACGGTGCCACTTGTCAAGGCTCTGACGGGGTCTGGAGGCCCATGAAGAAGAGCGCATCGCTGCTTACCACGAAGCAGGCTGTTCAAGGGGCTATGACTCTCCAATGTCAAGGGGATCACACCCATTGTGCTCTTGAAGGTCATGCTCACGGCTTTGGCAGTCGTATATGGAGGAGTACCAACCTGCTCTGGCAGCCACTTTGGCTAGTGCGATTCTTCTTGATGAACCTCCGCAACCTTGGGAGACCGGCTTCGCATCGGCAGAGCAAAAGATTGTGACTGGCGACTTGATCCGACTTCGCACCACCATCAAGCAGGACGCCATCAGGACAGTCCAACGACTTCACAGGAATCTTGGCCACCCTGGTCCTGCTGAGCTTGCTGAACTGCTTGAGACAAGGGGAGCCAGTGACGCCGTCATCCAAGCGGCTAAGAGCTATGTGTGCACAGCTTGTGCCAAGTACAAGAAGCCTGGAGATGCTGCACCAGCATCCATGCCTGCCACCGCGACCTTCAACCAGATCGTGCAGGCTGATGTCTTTTGGCTTCGCCTTGGCAAAGACAAGTACCCCATCCTCAGCATGGTGGATCTTGCAACCCGGTTCACTTCAGGTCTGCTGCTGAACAACGAGCAGTCCGAGGAGTACATCAAGGCTCTTGAGCGAGGATGGCTGTCTATGTTTGGACCACCTCAGCGGCTCATCACTGATGAAGGCAGACCTTGGCTCAGCCGCGTCTTTGAGGATTGGAGTTCTGCCCATGGCATCTTTCACGAAGTCGCCCCTGGAGAGGCACATGAACGCCTTGCAGCGGTGGAACGTCGACATGCTCTCTTGCGCAAGGCCATCGAGGTCTACTGCTCTGACATGCACCTCACCAATGCCAAGGGCATTAAAGAAGGTCTTGGGCTACCAACCTCAGTTGGCCGGCAGTCTCCTCTCTGATTCCTTCAAGCCCGTGCACTTTGGTGGCCATGAGGATTTCGAGCTGACTCTCGCTCGTCGCAGTGCCGCCCAAAAGGCCATGATCGAGGCCGATGCTGACAAGCGACTTCGCCGGGCACTTGGAGCAAAGTACAAAGGCCTTAACGCCGAGTACAACCTGGGTCAACAGGTATGGTTTTGGCGAGATGCCAGGCAGCCCGACCTCGTGAAGATCAGGTGGCTGGGTCCGGCCCAAGTTGTGATGAAAGAATTCAAGAAGGATGGAGATGGACAAGATCGTGTACATGTCTACTGGCTCGCCTACAAGACGCAGCTCATCAGGTGCGCACCGCACCACGTTCGAGCCGACATCAAGGGGTCCCAACATGCTTTGGATGATGTTCAGTCTGCCCTCACGACTGTTCGACAGCTCAAATCCAGAGGTGTGACAAGGTACTACGACCTCCACCACTTGAACAAGCACAACCTCCTGGATGTTGACAGTGATGCTCAAATGGATGAGGTCGAGGGCGATTTGATCGAAGAGGAGTCCGACCATGAGCTGGCACCACCTCGCCGTCGGCCACGACTCCTTCCACCTGGCGCAGAAGCCGCGACAGAGCCTGTCTTACCGATGTCGTCTGGAGGCCCCACTTTGCCGACACCTTTACCTGCCGCAGCCGACATTCCGGTGATTGACACGGGCGACTACACTCCGACTTCTCCAGCCGATGGCAGTCCACAAGCTGGTGCTCCATATCCTTTCGCCAATGGGCCAACGGCAACTGGAACTACGGATGCATCTCCTGAACTACCACCACGAGTTCCCAGCAGCATTGCATCTCTGTCAGAGCCCAGTGAAGAACCTCCAGCTCAAGAAACGCCACTGGCACCAATGCCTTCTGCTCGACCGCTGCTCTCACCGAGCGGTGAACCTTCGGCTCCACGACCACAGTTGGACCCCATCACGGCCGAGCTCTATGAGCAAGTGGAGGGCGAGAACTTTGAACAGCGTCGCCTGCGCCTCAACAGGCAGGAGACCATGAGCTTTGCACCTGTGCGTCATCACGCAAGAACTGATGTTGCACCATATCCACCGGCAGCTGCACCAACTCCACCGTCCACCGAGGACAAGGCTGGTCACTAGAGCTTATGGACTTATACCTGCAGTTATTAGTTGGGTAAACTAGGTTGTAAGGTAGGTACCATATGGTTATAAATTGAAAACTTTGGGCAAATGATTTCTAAATTTTGTGCCACATACAAATTAAATAGCGCAACTTGAGAACTTACAACCAGAACTTGGGGAAACGTAGTAAGTTAAGGTGTAATTAATCTTATTTTTTGTAAGTTTTGCTAAGTTCTGCACGAGGACATGGTCAGAACAAAGACTTTTCTCCGCCGTCGCCCCGCGCTGGTTCAACCATGGTGTGGCTCGCCCACCTGCACGTGGCTCGCCCGTGTAGATTTTCATCATGGACCGTGATCGGGACCGCGGTGGCAATTGGCACCATGAGCGGGGTGGAGGGGACCGGGGTGGAGGCACTCGCCCCAACGACCGGGGTGGAGGCACTCGCCCCAACGACCACGGTGGAGGCGCTCGCCCCAACGAAGCTCACATGGGTCCGTTGCGGCTCCCGGGCGGTCAAGGTACCCTGACCGCCCGGGACCGAGATGATATTTGGGAGAGGTACTGGGTGTCAGCAAGCGTGAGATGGCGCGCCCAATGGGCGGAACGGTGTTTGAGCCTATCTGGCGATGCCGGGTCTTTGAATGCTGCAAAAGACATGGCAATGGAGAGGATTGCGCAGCATGGAACGGAAGGAGGCCGCGCTTCTGAGCCGACTGCAGGTCCCGAGCTGCAGGCCTTGCAAACCCAGGTCCATCAATTGGACCAATATGTCAGGAACCACCATAGCTTGCTGCAGTACCTCACCCAGCAAGCGACTCGGGCTGAGCAGACGGCTGGCCAAGCTGTTGCAGCAGCACAGGCCTATCGCCAAGCGGGCCAGGATTCTCTGGAACGCATCAGCCAGAGAAATACGGAGGCCCACGAAGAATTTGAGGCTGGCATTGAAGAAAGGGTGCAGCAGATAGTGCGACAAGTGCTGGAAGATAGGAAGAAAAAAAGAGGAAAAAACGACGCGCCAAGCGAAGCGAATCCGCAGAGGATGAAAAAGAAGCAGAGCGAGAGAAACAAGATGAGCAAAAGCAAGATGGAGAAGGCTCGCCTCTCCATGACACAAGCTTCGCCAAAGCAGAGCGCATGTCCAGCACATCGCCTGCCGGAAGAGATGCTTCGCTTCATGTTGCTGATTTTTTTGTTGTACATATAGGTGGGCGAGCCTCACGTCATATATATATATATATTATATATAACTGACGAGCCTCATGTAGAAATGGTAAGAGTTGCTGAATTTTTGTTCACTTTCCCATGTGCGTTCGCTCAGGATGATTTGGTGGCCGCTGTTGGTGAAACGGCGGGCTTTCCAGAGGCAAACGCAGCGGAACAAAAGATGGCACAACAAGGAGAAGAAGAAGAAGAGACGTCAGAGCAATCTCTCGAGGTCTTTGCAGCCCCGGCTCATGACTACAAGATGGAACCCATCGAAGAGCCAGAGACTCCCTGCCTCACTGTGGATGACATGACTGAAACAATGCGCCTATCAGCGAATGCGAAGGAGCTGCCAAATGATGATGATGCAAAAGAAGAACAGCCAGGGTCAGGATGAGGCTCGTCCCATCCAGCATAAACCCCACTACTGAAGCGTATGGGAAAAATGTGGCTGCGTTACTCTGCGTTGCTGTAGCGTCTTCGAGCGTCACTCTTGAGAATCATGAAGAGTTGTTCAGAATTGTTTCAAATCAGAAGGGTGGTTTCAAATCAGAATTGTTTCACATCTTGAGAATCGAATCTCGATCCGCAGCCTTTTCAGCTTCAAGTGGGATGGCTCACCTCCCTTTGAAGCGCAGAGCAGGGGCTCATCAAGGCAGCAAAACTGGACATGCGGGAAGGCTCGACCTCCCATCCATGCATCCCTTGAAGAAAGACAAGCATGTCGAAAAGCAGGTGTGCCGGAAGCTCCCCCAAAACCTTTCATTTCAGGACCATGTGGCCACTCTAGGCGATCCTTCTCTAGACGCTGGTCATCAACGAAAAAAACTACGAAGGGAGCTGGCCAGCGACTTGGTCCATGAAGGTCTTTGCGGCCCCATCATGAGGACTTTTACCCTCCAGCTTGATGGAGAGGATTGGGAGTGGACTTATTTGTGTCTAGTAGCGTTGCTCAACAAGCTCTGCGCCCTGCAGCCCCGCCGCGCCTTGGGGACCTGATTCAAAACACGCCATCAGTGGCCTGTTACATGGACGAAGTAAAGCCTGGGAACGTGTTAAGGCCAGACCCAGCTAGGACCGTAGCGTGCTTCTATTGGACTTTGAAGAACGGGGACATCGTCTTCAGGCTTGGAACAGCTGGAATCCGGAGGTGGACGAAACCGAAGGAAGCACTGAAGGTGAAGCTATTGTCGCCAGAAGCCATCATCCCACGGCAGGTCTCGACTTGTACTCGACTTGTACTTTATATCAAAGACAGGAGCTGGGCACCAGGAATCCAGTTGACCGGATCTCAATCAGGGCACTGAGAGTTGGAAGTGGACGACGTGAATCTGCCGAGGACAGAGGCACCCAAACGGAAGCAGATGATGCATCAAGGAGCTCCTGGAGACCATCGAGTACCCGATTCGGAACTATGGTGTCGGGGAGCCCATGATGCTGAAGCAGAGGAAAGACGAAGAGCGAACCTGGGACTGCCGATGAGTGCCTGGGACCGATCCATGAATAGGAGGGGCCCGAGGAGGAACCATGGAGGAACCTGAGTGATGATGGACTCCGAGGGTGTGCACTTCACCTCCCATGACCCAGACCACCGGATCCAATGCTCGAGAAAGCGGAGAAGGCAGTGGCCAGCCATCAGGAGGGGCGACCTCGCTGAGGGAGTACCCGGAGGGAAGGTTTCCAGAGTCGAACCTCTGCGGTTGGTCACCACGGTAGAGGTGGTGCTTGGGGAAGTGGTGCCATGAGGAGGAGATGTGGGACTACCTGAGAACGCTGGGATTTCAGAAGGGGTTCCTGAATGAAGAGGTCTTGAAAGTGATCTCCATCTTCATCAACTTCCAAAAGACTGCCCGATCGATCGAGAGCAGCTGGACTGTGTGCGAGTGACTCTGGTGCACCAAGCTTGCGGGAAGAGCCGACTCTACACCGACCCGGGCCTTGACAGTTCTGCACCTCCGGATACCACTTCCTCGTGGACTGGGGCTACGATCTTCCAGATCAATGGCATCACCAGAAAGGAGATGGCGATGTATAGTGGTCCGGGCCGACAGCACAATACCAGTGCCAAGCAACAGGGCAAGCAACAGAAACTCGCTCGCCAGAAGAAGTTCAAGAAAGACAAGGACGGCATCAACGAGCGCCATCTGGGACCACATGAAAGGGCCATATGTTCAAGGAGGCCAAAGTGAAGGAGCTGAAGAGTTTCTTTGACCACCACGTCCGGGTCTTCGAGACGACGAAGGAAGCAGATCCTGCCCGGACTTTGACAAGTCGGATCCTCCTGAAGTGGTCGAAGAATCCTGATGGCACACCCCGGGCGAAAGCCAGATTGATTGTCAGGGGCTTTGCTGATCCTGACGCCTTGGCAGGCCAAGTCGAGACATCGAGCCCTACGACCACCCGACTGTCACGTTCCATGGTGCTTTCCTTGGCCGCCACTATGAGCTGGCGAATGTGGACCGCCGATGTGAGCACGGCTTTCCTTCAAGGCCGCAGCCAAGACAGAAAGCTCTGGGTCAAGCTTCCCTCTGAAGCACTCGAACTCCTTGGAGGAGACGAGAACACGAGGATGCTTCTGCTCAAACCCTGCTACGGTCAGATTGATGCTCCTCGTGGCTTCCAGACCATCATGGACTGCAATAAGCTGCTCAAGTTCGCCAAGGAGCATAAAGATGTTGGCTTGTGCTATAACCACATCGGCACGAGCGATCAGCTGAGGATGATCTGTTTCTTCGATGCTGGCTTCTCGGCTCGTGCTGACCGATCCTCTCAGGGCGGCTACATCCTCATGCTCATCAACGAGCAGCTGATGACCTCTCCGGAAGAGGGTGACTACCACGTGATCGACTGGCGATCCTTCAAGACCCCGAGGGTCTCACGGTCGTCGTTGGGCGCCGAGGCTCAAGCTGGCGGTCAGGCCAGCGATGCTGTGGACTTTGCTTGCAGGTACTGGCATCACATGCTGCAGCCAGACCTCCCCTTGAAAGACTTGCTCAAGGTGACGTCCACGCTCAAGCCGGTGATGATCACCGACGCCAAGGCGCTCTACGACTCGTACCATCGAGAACGGACTTCATCTTCGGTGGTCGACAAAAGAGTCTCACTCGAGATTCGAGTGATGAAGGAGCGACTTCAAGATCTCGGAGGAGTTTTGAAACACTACGCCTCAAGCACCACAAGTTGAAGCTCACTTGGGACCCGGAGTATAAAGCCATGAAGAAGAAGTCGCAGTCAGAGAAGCTCACTGCACTTCAGGAGACCACCTCCACTGGTCCTACGAGAGTCTGGCATCAAGGCCTGCCAGACGACTACCTCCCTGGCTCGGAAGAGGTTCTTGAGGATACAGCAGGTGACCCCACTGAGCATGTCAACATGGCATTCATCGAGCACGCCCTCTTGTATGTGCTCGCCTCAAGCCATGTCGTGGTCCGCCGGAAGTATAACATCCTGAGTCGCTCAAAGAATGTCCTTGTGTGGGCACTATGGCTCTGGATGATGAAGGTGTGCGCAGCCGAAGACAGCTGCCAGAAAGTCCAGGCACCACCCTCAGTGACCGCAGGTGAAGATGGCAGTTGGTATTTCCACGCACTGGTTTTTACTCAGTTGCTTCTTTTTGTGCTCATCTTCATGTGCGGCTATTTCAGTGGCCGCAGCTGGAATGGTTCAAAGTTGCCAACACCACCACCGGCAACAGCCGAAGCTGCTTCCCAGAAGGATGAGGCGATTGTTCCCCAACGCCTTCGTGCTCAGCTGGCTGAGGAGCGACAACGCTCTGCCGAGTTCGCTGCTGCCGCCAGAGAGGCCCGGAAGGCCATCGATCTGAATGTGCAGGAGCGAGAGTCCTTGTATGGAGAACGCCACCACCTGTTCTCCCTCCTGAGGACCGCTGAGGACATCCTGAAAAGCGCCTGGAGCAAGAGGTCAACGACCACATGGACACCTGTCCCCAGAACAAGCCACTGATGGCTTCGAAGGTTGGAACCTGCTGGCATGATGATGGATGCCAGTCTGTGCGCCAGATTCCAGACAGGAATCTCCTGACCCTGCGTCGCTGTTCATTTTGTGGCGACCCGAGGTCACCTTTGGATTTTTCAAATTTGCGGCCAGACATGACCGCTTGGCACCATGCCGTACGGGCACTGGTGTACTGATCCGACACCACCACCGGTGTCAGTTGCACGCTGTGCAACCATGTCAGGTTCACACGACTAAGGTACCTGCCCGCAGGGTGGGCTCATGCAGCTGAAAAGCGCTCACGGCCGCGGACGCTTCGGCGTCTTTCCAATTAGCTCGCGTTGGTTCGTACTCGTACTGTTCCACGCTTTGACACGGTGTTCTTCGGCAACATCCGCTGTTTTCTCAACCACAAATCAACATGGTTGTAACATGTTGCAACTCTGGAACTTCAATGGGGCAAGGTTAGGGATAAGGCTGAAGGTTTGAGTCTGAGGGATTGGGACTTGTTTACTCGAGTCTAGGTCTAGGTTTGTCCCCTTTTGGTACTTTTGAGGTGTTGAGCGTTGTCCTGGGCGGGTTAAAAGCAACAGCAGGGCTCCAGTCTTTGTTTCTAGGAGGGGGTAGGCAGAGGCAACAAAAGGGGGTTGCAAAAAGCGATCATGGGGTGTCAGCCTTTGTTTCTACGATGTGATAGAGGTCCTAAACATTAACGGCTGCTACCGGTGCTGCATGTAGTTGTAGTCGGGTAGTGGTGGTGGCGCAGCAGCAGTAGCAGCAGCAGGAGTAGTAGTAGTAGTCGTCGTCGTCGTCGCAGTTATAGTTAAGTAGTAGTTGCGGGAGGGACGTTACTGCTAATACCACCAGTACTTGTACTGGTACTTGTTGGCTTTTTCATCCGGTCAAAGAAACAATCGCGAGACTCCAGCAAGAAGATGTGTGTTGACAGGTTTGACAGGGCTGCACTTTTTCGCTTGACAACATTAACAGCAGCAACAACAACTCTCTTTCCATGTTACCTTTTGAGCACTGGGCTTTAATACGCATTAGTGCTGGCCAGGATCACCCAAAACATCCGCAAGACTTGCAGAACTCAGAAAGTGGTTCCCTAGTCTCACGGCAGCGACCAAGATCCGGAACAAGCTTCAGGATCAAAGCAAGCTTCTATGACATGTTGATAGTTTCTTTCTTATGTTTATATAGTTGTTAAGTATCAAAGTTTAAACGCATCGTGGGCCTCGTTTTCACCCGTTGCATATACGAGGCACTTCTGCCCTCGCATTTTCATGTTGCCAGGCAATCGTCTGTGCCAAAGATCACTGAAGCCATTGAGGAAGCAATTGAACCCAACTTTGACAACAGCGGAACTGGCAGCACAGGTTGCCTCGCGGGATGGTGGGGGTGGGGATACGGCTCTTTTGGTGATCAACATACGGTTTGTTAAAGATAGTGCGATTTGTGCCCCGCATTACAGCAAATGTGCTGAGCTCATAGATCCACATTTATAATCATATACTGTATATATATATATAGACATACTCGGATGTCGAACCCCAACAACTGTGATGACACGAGCAACTGAAGTTGATGGTAGTCACAGCTGACCTAAACTCAACCCATCCGTTCAATGAGTAAGATACGGTAAGAAAATTTCCGTGAAAGGGGCTATCCTGTCGCAATCACTTCCCCAATTTTTCTCCATTCCTCCACATGCTAACCTGCCCATGAACCACTGGTCTAGTAGGGTTTCGACTCATGTGAGGAATCCTCAGCAATGCTTTTTGCATTATCATAGATCATTAGTGAAAAAGGGACTATGCGACTATGTGTACATGATTTGTCAAGAACATTCCAATTCCAACAAAAGGTTCATGGTCCTTGAGGACTGAAAGATCCACATTTGGTTCATTGATATGTGTGAGGACGACAATGCATTATTATTACACACACATATATATATACAATAAATATACAGTATATGTTTGATTACTACATGTAATACATATATATATGTGTGTGTGTGATTACTCATAGATGACAATTTCCCATGTTGTTTATTCTTTGTCGATGCCTGCAGGCGCCAAGTCTGAGAAGCCTGCTGAGATAGTGGAGCAACTTGCCGAGGGAGGGGTGAGGGGTAGGAAAGCTCAGAAAACGAAATGTCGACCCCCACAATCAGGGCGGTTTGGCCTGGTCGGACCTCCACGTGTGAAATACGACTCGAGGCCTCATCCAGCGTGAAGAGCGCTGAGATGAGTAGGAGGCCACAGTTTCCGGTTTAGGAGTTTAGGGTCTCAAATCCTTGGGCTTTGAGGTCCCACAGAGTTGCTAGGAGCGTTTGGGCCTTTTGGTGTACCGACCTTTTGGTTTCTTAATGTTTAGCGACAAAAGATTGCCAACCTTATTTGTTGCATGCTTTTGTCCATTGGTTTGAGTGCGTAAAGCTAGTATAGAAGCCAAAATGTTCAGAGGTGGCTACATGAGCATGCTAGTGACTGAGTTATATAACACCTGCAATAACTTCTGACGGAGAAAATCCTACACCACTGGATTCTCCAAGATACTGGTGCTTCGGATTTTGTCAATCAACCGTAACAGCTGCATAATGCTCGAGCGATGGTTGTGAACACTAAACCACATGGTCAGAGGAACCAAGGCTAAGCACATTGCAGAGGAGTTATATCCCGGAACCAGATGGCTTGGGGCTTAGCTTGTTCCACACATGTTTGGGAAATATATATTTTTGTACATATTCATATTGCTATTGCGTTTTTGAGATCATGTTTGCAGCCTTGGGTTTTTGAGCCGTTACCGGATACAGTACCCCTGCTGGCAGGGGTGAAGTTTTCGATGGTTTCCGGAAACATTGGCCTGGAATGATGCCGTGTTTGGTTATCCTGTTTTGCCGCTGAGGTTTTCTACAGAGAAGCTGAACAGTGGCTTGGTCAAAGAAGTTGGCATATGGCATAGGCATAGCGGCATAGCCTCATGTGATGCGGGCACCGGGTGAACACATTAATCATGTCAATGTTCACAAGTGTCATGCTGTTTACATAATACGTAGCCTGCTGTCACAGACCGCTGGAGGTTGCAAAGTGATCAGTGATAAATGTGCCGTTGCCGCTGGAGGATTTGGGGGGAATGTTTGCATTTTGCCTTTGACCACATCGAGCTGACCTCCCTTTGATTCATAGGTCCCAGCACTCTGTCATCTTTGATCGCCAAGATGGCTAGGTTCCAGATTTGGTTGATGTTTGCCCACAATGATGGGATGACCGGCTTCACAACATCCAAAACGGACAAAGACATGCATCCATTCTTCGTGACCAAGACCGTGGTCCGCGCATGTCCGCGCCATAGGAAGGTCCTGGAGAAAGATGACTCCGCACCTGGAATGCAAGAAAGTGGACCTCGTGGTGTCGATGGTTGTTCTCTTGGACTCCAAACGAATGTGTTGTTGGTCGGCTGGCCGGTGGTCTTTCACAAGGGCCAAACAATTCCCACTTTGTTGGAAGACACCGAGAGCCCGGAACAACAACAAAGTGGAACAACAACAAAATCTAAGACTCTAAATACAATAAGTGTTGAAGTTTGCTACCCACCCAAATCACTGCCAAGTCAGGCCTGTGCATCCGGCCAGAAAAGCTCAGCTCAGCATGAGTGGAACCAAAAGCGCACGTCTTTGAGCCTTTGAGTCCTACAAAGGATCGATTGGGATTGATAGTGTATGATCTTGATTGCACACTATACTATATACTTTCATACGCTAGCTAGGAAAACACAATCTGGATTGTATACTGTCTTCATCGAGGGGTGTTGCTAATCAAGAGTGTACATGAGGCGAGCATAGAATAGAACGCCACTTCTCAATCTCACAAGTTCACCGCAGAGGGCCTCTATTTGTTGGTGAGTGTATTTGATAGGCACTGCACGAAGACCGCAACAAACAGCCCAAGAAAAACAGACTTCTCCAGGCCATGTCCCCAACTTAGGGACTTTCACAAATCAGAGCCTCCGACAACTTCGTCGACTTCCGGGACGGTCCAAGCCTTCTACTGTCCGTGCGGCAGTCCAAGATAGTCCAAGCCCACCCCAAGCCCCTTGAAACCCAGGTTCTTAAATGTCTCGGACTTGGCGGACTTGCAGGCGGACGATGAAACGGGCCACACCGGGGCCAAATCGGATCCGGAAGGGGAGTGCTTTGGGCGGTTGAGGGCTTTCTTTTTGTATTTTACTTTTTTCAGCCGTTGACAAGGTCCGGATGGGGTTGGGGGATGTTTTGGGAGGTGAGGAGGTTGAGCTAGCCTTTTGAACCAACACCTCCCACAGATGAGCTTTTTGGACGCTTTTTGAAATTTAGAAACCAACTTGTGAGGTTGCTGATGGCTCACTGCTGTTACTGTAGAACATTTTTTGGGGTATCCTTTATAATCCCCCTCTTCTTGATTTAGAAATCGGGGGAGGGGGGACAACCTTTAGAAATGTAATTTCCGGTTTCATTTTTTCCTTGTTTTTTTCACAGTTCTGGTTGATTTGGGATGACGCATCTGAATCTAATTGTTGGGTTTTTCACTATTGTCGGGAGGTTTTACTAAAGAATTTACTTGTCGGGAGGTATTACTAAAGAATCTAATTGTCGGGAGGTTTTACTAAGGAATTTGATTGTCGGGGAGTTTTACCAAAGAATATAATTGTCGGGAGCCAGGAAGTCTAGATTTGCACGGTCAATTTTGATTATTGAAAAAATCCGCCTCGACTAAATCCGGAGGATTTAGTCAAGGCAAGCCGTTTATTCTCAAGTCGAGCCTTGCCGCCTCGAGATTTTTCAGCCCGCCTTGACTAAATCCGGAGGATTTAGTCTAGTTTCAAGGCAAATAGTTTCTATCAACATGGTCTTCAAGGCAAAAAACCAGCGCAGAGGCCTTGATTGGATACTCAAACGAACCTCAAACGTACGGGCCGACCTGTCCAACATCTCACGCGCACCTCAATGCACTGGTCATGCAACAAAATTGTCACTTTAGTGCATTTGCCTTTAGCTTAGTTCATGGCTGAACTTGATCAGTCGGTCTTTACGAAACCACGGATGGAAGAAGCGACGCAGCTCTCGATCGAGGACATCGGCGTGCAAGAAAGTTTCCTTGTAGAGGGGGTAAACCATCCAAAAGAAATTGACCACCCCCCTAAGCAGCGGCCTGTATCTCTGTGACCGGCATCCGTATAGGGAGAGATCTATGTTGCCGTTGATGTTGTCGGCTTGGGGCTTCACATGTCCATGTAAGTGTTCATGTTGTCCTCAATGTTGCTGAATAAACTCCCCCCTGCTAAGTTTGCAAGAATCGGGCAATGTATGTCCTTGTTGCCCTCATATTTGTTCAACGAGGCCGACTAAACCTGTAGTGGCAGTAGTGGGAGTTGGAGTTGGTGTCATTTTCTTTAATTGGGGAGTTCGGGAGTCCTGACCAGGTTGTTTTGAGTTTATGCTCAGGATTGTCCAGGGAGGGAATATTCACTATATATATATATATATATTTTTTTTTTTTTGGGGGGGGGGGTTAAAAGGCGTCGCTTTCCCAAGTCTTCTCCAGATTTCCACCTCCACCTCCATCCACACCAAAACTGGATCACCCACCTCCCCCCCTCGAAAAAAAAAAAACATCCCATCCTCCCCATACCATCCACATGCCTTCCCCGGGTCAGTAGGACCAAGATAGATAGATACAGAAATATAGTAGATCAACATAAAGGAAATTCACATTTGAAATTTAATTTCGTTTTCTAAGAGAAGCCTGGCGCATAATAACCGTAAAAATAAGGGTAAATCAGTAAAATGGGGACAGAACATCACATCCCATGAGATTTCTCACGTAGGTCTCCACTGGAACCGCCCTCTCGACCTTTGCGAATGTCCGTCGCAGGTCTCCGAGGACGGCTCTGAGGCCTCCGAGGCGTCGAACAGCGGGAGCAATGCGACCTCCCCGGAGTTCCAAGGACGGCACCGGCGTCGCCAACGTTTTTCGGTGACGCCGGGGACGAACGCGAGCATGAACCGGGCATCCGAAGGCCCGGGGTGGGAAGCGTCGCCCGGAAAAAGGAACCCAAAACCAGACAGGAGGAGAGATGAGGAGAGTGTGGGTGCTGGCAGGTCTTTTTGTTCGCTCGTTCCTGGCCGTTCCAAAGGTGGACTTTGGAGGTTTGGTGACGGAAATGCAATGCATGGTTATCAATGTCGAGGTGTTTTCTGAAGTGCACAGGCTCTACTTGAAGTAGACGATGGCATGTTTTTCATGCATTTGCACTTGTTTGGGTCTGTAGGTTGCTGCTTTGAAAAGTGTGTGCTTTCGCTTCATCAGCAGAACCTGCGTTGCCCAGGACGGACCTCAAGAGGCGTGGCAGTCGACCGAAGCAAGAAACACCGGCGTTCAGCATGGCGCATGGCAGAGCGGAAGGACAATCTCACGCCGATCTGTTCAGGTTGGAATGTAGAATCCATTAATGAGCTATTTGGATTCATTGATGTCAGACGTCCACATGTGGGTTTGGGCACAGGGCTACCCACAACCACTTTGAAGGGCTTTCTGGTTTGCCACAGAACCTACATGAAGACACGCTCAGGCTCTCACAATTCCAATGATACCGAGGCAGGCTGCCGCGCACCAGTTTCAGGTGTGATGATGTCGTGATATGTTTATGTTCCACAGGTAAAATTTAAGCTGCTCAGATGCTCATCAGAAGAATGGTCAGTTTAAACGTCAGTTTACGATGTTTAAGGTGACGTTGTTATTTTTCCCCATTCCCCCAGTCGTTTTTTGAAGCGGACTCTGAACCAAAAATACAGAGAGCCGAGAGCCTCATGACGGTGCTTTGACCACGCATGGCCGCTTCAGGGAATGGAATGTTTGAGTTCAGGAGCCGAGGGCGGGCCCAGCACGAGGGGGGACATGATGCTGGTGCTTCTGGGTGGTCGCGACGGGCTCGGGCGGCCGAATTCTCCATAAAGCTTGCCGCGAGCCACGGAGCTACAGGGAGCTTCCAATCCATCTTAGATAGATAGTAGATCATAGTCGATCCCCCCAAATTCACGGACTGTTCACCGGATCTTGTTGAGTATAGGATGTGGGTTATAAGTTTGGGATGCATGGTTTTTGCTTTTCCAGTTTGTGTTGTTTTCAGTGCAGCATGCGGCACGCTTCGCCTTTTGAGGATTGCTTGCACTTCTTGAGCCTGTGTATTGTAAGATATTGTAAGCATAGTGCACGCAGGAAAGTAGGTAGCATAAAGCAGGCCAAACAGGCACTCCCCCTCAGAGGGTCCTTGAAGCCTGTAAGTCCCCTAGAGTTGGAGCCTGCACTCTTTTCGTGGACGTTTAAGCAATCCATAGCAATCCTTTTTGAGTGTCCATTGAGGGTGACTTGGATTGATCACCAACCAAAAAGGATAGCAGGAAACCTTAAACACCACCTGTAGGCTGGGCAAGTTGTGGGCAGACGGTGGACAACCTGTCCTCTTGTTCAGGGCACTTCCCCCAGGCCCAGGGCTGATTTGTGAGGAGCCAACAGCATGAACAGCCAGAATCAGAAGCCTGTGTTGCTACAGGCGGGGTAGTAGCTACTACTGTCGGTCACACGCCAAACTTGCGGGGTTGGGGTGGCCAGCCTGTGTGGATATGGGACAATATGAAGTCCGCAGGTGTTTCCATGTGTTGTTTTTTCTTGTGTTTGTTGCTTTTTTCCTCCAGTGTGGACACCCAAACTGCTGTATAATCTAGTCATCTAGTATCATCTATCCACCACTGCCGGCTTACTGGATTTCCCTCTAGATGTTCACTCGAGGTCATCACTGACATGCCGGACGCGGAGAGCACCCCCTCGGCTGCATGGGACGGTCCCGCCGGGCGCCCCGACAGTGGGTGATGTAAGACTTGCGTCGGACTGACCGGACCGTGGAAAAGAAGTAATGTAGACATGTGGAAGCCCTAGCTACAATCAATAGAAGGATATGGAAGGAGTTTGGGAAGTACAGTATGTCCTCGTTGATTCTTGGATCGCTGTAGCTGTTGCATGAAGATGCTGAGAGGCAAACAAAAACTGGATCCATCCATATAGCCTGCAGCAGTCCCAAACTTGTTCGCCATTCAAGTCACTAGCCGCTCATCGGATAGAGGGAGGGAGAGTGGGCGGCCGGGTGTTCTCAGAATGTGTGGCTGTGTTGTTCTTTGCTGGTTTTTGTTCTACGATGTTGAGCCTCACTTGGTGCTCTACTTGGCCCCATACCTAATCTTGGCCTGGGCCAAGCTTGCCACGCTCGCTCGTGGTTGACCAGCTTTTGGCCTTCGGAGCGCCTGGTTGCTGCGTTTACGACCTCACGGGCCGGGTGAAAAATTCAAATCAGGTAAGTGCAACTGCCACCATGTCCCATGTCTCATACCTCAGGAATCCCCAGTGCCCACGGGGAGATAGCATGAACATCGGGACCTGGAGAATGCACCCCATGGCATTTCTTTGCAGCCCATAGAGCTACACAACATCAGCTGATGTCGCATGTCAGGGGATGTGCTACAAAGCAGCGCCACTCCGCGTCCACTCCTGCCCGCCCCTCCTCCGGTTTGGACGGCCGCGGCTGGAGCTTTTCCGTGGCAGGACGAGGGTCTGGTGTCCGAGTCCGAAGTGCCTGCTCAGTCAGACTTCGAGACGAAAAGTCATCCTTCAGCAGCTTGGCCCAATCCAAAGACCTGCAAAACCTGATCAAATATGATCAAATGACTCTTGCGTTTTTCCCGAAAGCATTGCGAAGGGTTCTTCCGGAAAATCCTTTGAACACTGACGCTTCGACACTTACACTTACACACTGACACTTCCACTACAGTCGCACTACATACACTGACACTTCGACATTGACACTTACACATACACACTGACACTCGGCAAGCACGCAGTGTAAGTATACAAGTGATGGGTACGCAAGCATGCTTTGAGCATGCAAGCATGCAACGAGTAGGCAAGTGTGAGTATGGAAAACTAGCACGGGAGATGTCCTAATGAAAAAACATTTCCCCACTTTATAAATTCTCTCTTAAAGGCGGAGGGCGGGACGAACAGCGTCAACCGAAAGTGCAACCCTCTGCGGAGATCGTGCGTGTCGAGTGCGCGAAAT